CATCTCTGAACTCTTCCAGGCTATTTGGCTTGCTGCCAGAAGGAATATTTAAGATGTGGAAAGGCCACTTCGATGGCATTTCTTAAATTAATCCTTTAGGAATCGGTCAGTCAGCACTGTGCGATACGCCTTTACGAGCATTCCGGTATCATGAAAATTTGTAGCTTCTGATTTTTCCAGAAATCGGCTCCATTTCTTGGCCACTGGCGCTCCCAGTTTTTGGCCTTCCTCTGTGACGTCCGTTTTTATGCGTTTTTTGTAGCTATGCAATGCAGAAGATGCATATTGACGAAGATTGTGTTTGAGTGTGTGTGTGTTGTGTGTGTGTGTCTGTGTGTGTCTGTGTGTGCGTTTGGCCTCTGCACCGATTTTTCATTTCGAGACCTACAAAAGGTACGGGGCTTAAATTTTGGGAACTTAATCTACATGCATGTCCGGGTACCCTTACCCAAAAAGGGCGGTCATACCCGCGTGATACCCACGCATGAGCCCGCCAAAGTTTTTTACGTGCAAGCTGCTAACTTGGAAAACAAAGAAGTGGGAGAGCTGAAATTTTAAAGGGATGTTCCCCATCCAAACATGTGTTAGTGAGCTCAAGCCCAGCCCCCAGGTATGCACTTACCCACGTACGGGCCCGTGAAAGTTTTTTTCGGGTAGGTTATTAGCTCAGGAACCTAAGAAGCTAGAAGACTGGAATTTCGAGGGAGTATTTCCTGACATTTCTGGCGGCCAGTCTTAATATGTCCAGCAAGAAGCATTCGCCAGAAAAACCGGTGCCGGTAGCGACATAAACTGTGGGAAACTATGCCAAAAACGCACCTTCGCACGGGCAGCCCATACGTTGACCAATTATTTTCATCTGATTTCGGCACATTTGGCAGCACAGGGGAAGAACATTTAGGCCGAATTCAAAATCTTTAAACTATGCGTGGATAAGGAACAATCCCGTAAAATTCTAGCTTCCCAGCTTTTCTGGTTCTCGAGTCAGTATTCTTCGCGTCAGAAGTTTCACGCATCTTTGACGTTCAGATGTACGTGAGGCTTAGACACGCGTGAGAGTTGATACTACTTTCCTGGGTTGGCGTTTAGGTGCATTTGGCAACTTTCCAAGCGCCGTTGACCAGTACGGCACCACCCGATGGTCAGCATGCTGACGACCTCTGCTTGCATATTTATTCTTTTTTCCGTATCTTTTACACTTGTTTATTTTGGCATCGATAGTTTTGTCGCTGTCTCATTAAATTTAGTGCGAAATTACACCAAGTTTTTTTTCGCAGATTATGCATTTTTTGAAAAACGCTCACACTAAAGTGCTGTAGCTTGACACCACT